GACATGAGGTCATCCACACTTTTTTTCAGGAAAACTTTTGCTAATTTTGGAGAAGTTATGATAAGAATAACATCAATATTGTTTGTAATTTAAAAAAAAATACTTTGTGTTGAAACAATGCATAATTACTTAAAACTATTTTTAATAGTACAGTTACACCGTGTTAAAAAATATGTATCAAACTTGATACTGCAGGTTTATAATATGCTCCAGTCCTGAATTGTCATGTGATATTTTAGTAATTTAATCAACAGTATTCTTGCCACAATACAACACACACTATTTTGGATGATTGATTAATTACTGAAATGATATTTGAAAACACATTTAGGCTAGTTTCAAAGTGGTTCCTTTTGAAATTATAATCTCTACGCTGTTCTGAGTAAATATTTACATGTTAGATGTCAAAGAAAATTGAGGAAGAAGAGAAAAAAGAAAGAAAATGTCATCAAAAATGATAATAGATGTCAATTTTTTATAAAGTGTAAGGTACATCTGTGCCTGAACAAGGACAGAAACTGTATTTGTGCCTACCACCAAGTGAAATAAATGTCTGTAAAAACTTAAAAAACAAAGAAGTAAACTTCCTAGACTGTCCTAAACTTGTTAAAAGTTAAGGGCAAAACTGTCTTTTGTTTCTTAATTTAACTTTGTTGTGAGTAAAATATTACCAAAACAGCCCAGTGTATCAGATTTGATACAAAAAAAATCATAAACAAAGTGATTTGGCAAAAAAAATTGGATTTTGTTTAAAGGTCAAAAAAAAACATGTCAGTTCTAAAAAAAATGGGAATTTTCTGACTATTTTTTAAAGGGTTAGGCTTAAAACATTGTGTAAAACATAAACAAGAACAGAATAAAATGATTTACAAATGCTTTTCTACCTATATTCAATTGAAWTTACTACAAAGACAAAATATTTAATGTTCAAACACATAAACTTTATGTTGTTTGGGGAATTTGATGCCAGTAACACATTCTAAAAACGCTGGGACAGGGACAACAAAACACAGAAAGTTGAGTACTGCTCAGAAACACCTGTTTGGATCATTGCACAGGTGAACAGGTCCATTGGAAACAGGTGTATCATCACTGGGTATGAAGGGAGCATCCCTGAAAGGCTCAATCATTCACAAACAAGGATGAAGTGACGTTTACCATTTTGTGAACAACWCAATGTACAATTGCACGAATTTAGTGATTTCATCGTCTACAGTTCATAATTTCATCAAAAGATTCAGAATTGAGGCGTACAGAACAGTTATATATTGAGGTACGATGACCAGTTAATCTGAGTTAACAGTRGGATAATCTGAAAAGATGTGTCTTCAGRCCAGTCTTAAACAGGGACAGAGGTTGTATTGTGTAATCCATGGGGTGGTGAGTTCCAGAGCTGCGTAGCAGAGCAGCTGAAATCTCTACTTCTACAGGATAAAGCTCTATCAGGCAAAGCCAGATATGAACAACAGTCAGAAACACCACCAGCTTCTCTGGACCTGAGCTCGTATGAGATGAACTGACTCAAAGTGAAACGTGTCCTGAGGTCTGATGAGTCCACATCCCAATTGTTTTTGGAAATCATGGATGAGTGTCCTCTGGGACAAAGAGGAAAAKGACTGTCTGGSTTGTTAGCATAGCACAGTTCAAAAGCCAGCCTCTCTGATGGCATGGGGGTGTATTAGTGCCCATGGGTAACTTGTCACATCTGTRAAGGCTCCATTAATGCTGAAAGCTACATGCAGGTTTTGGAGCAACATCTGCTGCAATGCAAGCCTCGTCTTTTTCAGGGACATCCTGCTGATATCAGCAACACAATGAAGACACTTTCTGCTTGTGKTCCAACAGTGTGGCTTCAGAGTARAAGAGTGCAGGTACCAGACTGACCTGCCTGCAGTCCCCACCTGTCTCCAGTGAAAAGGTGTGGAGCATTATGAAGAGACCCAGGACTGTTGAACAGCTGAAGTTACAGAGCTACAGAGCTTCAACAGTTCTTCAGCTCACAAACTGTGTTAAAGGAAAGCTGATGGACCACAGAGGGAACATGACCCTGTCCCAGATGTGTTGGAACATGACCCTGTCCCAGATCTGTTGGAACATGACCCTGTCCCAGATCTGTTGGAACATGACCCTGTCCCAGATCTGTTGGAACATGACCCTGTCCCAGATGTGTTGGAACATGTTCCAACACATCTGGGAACATGACACTGTCCCAGATGTGTTGGAACATGTTGCAGCATCAAATTCAAAATGAGTGAATATTTAAACAAAAACAACTTTGACGTTTATGTGTTTTATGCAGTGTTGTATAAAGTACCTCAAAGTGATACTTGAGTAAAAGTCTTAAACTATCTGATATTTTTTGCACTTAAAGGACCAATATTATGAATTTCTCAGGCATATATTTAAATACTATACCATAATCAAGTATCTATGTCACATTTAGCTGTTAATAAAATGCTGT